TCTCCACCCCGCACAACATGATCTACTCGACCACCATTCATGGTTACCGCCAAAAAAAATCAGAGGTAAAAACCACGGTAGCCCGGTTGCCGAGCTCACAAAGTGAAGTGGCTTGTTTGACAACGTCGTTGCCAAGCCACGAAAACCCAATCCCGATGGCAAACACGATGGGGTGGCTTGCTTTACAACGTCTTTGCCAAGCGACGAAAACCCAATCCCGATGGCAAGCACCGAGGGAGGTGGCTTGTTTTACAACGTCGTTGCCAAGCGACGAAAACCCAACCCCGATGGCAAACACCGGGGCGGAGGTAGAGAGGAAGAGAAATTATTGCCTCGAGGTGCGTGTGCTCGAGGCTGGACATTATTTGTTTTTGTGCTACCTTTCAATGTGTCAATGTGTATGATTCCAGAGGATTTTATCTCCCGCAGTGGGAGGCGATCGTCGTTCGAAGTTGAGGGGAGATCGAGAGGGGATCGATAATGCACAGTGGGAGGGCGAGCGGGACTGTCAGCAACGAAATTCTCTGCTACGCGCTTCAAAATACACAACTACAGTAGCTTATCGCGCTCTGAGACCCCGCTTGGGTGTGAAGATTTTTTCGCCATCACGTGGTTCTGGTCGTGATAAGGAGGCATCCCTCCGGTCCAACTGAAGTGTCCGGGCGCCGAACAAATCTCGCCATCGCGGACAAAACAAACGCGCTTGTTTTCCGTTTTTTCCCGTTCTGCCAAGTTCTGCTGAGACTGAAGACGTTTCGAAAAACAAGTAAATAATTTTTAGAACCGAGCAAACCACGCGTGTGGCGACCCAAGCATCGCAACGCGTGGGGAAGTCCGGAGGGGGTTTACCCCCCCCCCCTCAAAAGACCCCCTCCTCGGTCGTTGGCATCGGGGTTGGGTTTTCGTCGCTTGGCAACGCCGTTGTGAAACAAGCCAATTCACTTCGTGAACTCGGCAACCAGGTAACCGTTTTTTTTTTACCTCTTTTTTCGGCGGTAACCATAATGGCGGTCGAGTAGATCATGTTGTGCAGGGTCGAGAACCCTCACTCCGCGCAAGGGGGATGATCGCACCACGTTTTGTGAAATTGGCCAAGCACCCTCGAGGCAGTTACACACAGTGCTTACAACTGTTTCTGGAAGTGAAGCACCAGAAAATATATTTGGTCATTCGCAGCTGTCATCCGTACGCAAGGAAGTAAGCACAAGATGCCGAACACCCTTAGCAGGATGCAGCGCACCCTTCATGC